AAAATGTTGAAGACGACGCTACTCGATTTTAGGTGGATGAGATTTGCCTTTCTCACCCGATGCGAGCAGCAACCTTAGGAGAAAACGTTTTGCCCAGGCCTCGGCCAAACATTCTGCCGTTGCGTGGTCGATCGAAGAAGTCGCTGGATAAGAATGGAAATGCATCTTCGCCAAACGATGAGGTATTTTGCGCAGGTTTTTTGAATTTGTTGATGTCTTTACTGGATTTGTTTGTAAGGCTTCGTTCATTTTTTTCTGGATGAACGTTTCGAGCGTATGCCAGCGTTTTCAGCGACTGCCCCCTAAAAGCTCAAGACTATCCTACTCAAACGAAGCGCTCAAAACGTTGTCATACGCTGGCGCACGCTAGATCAATACCTATACTTTCCTAGTCGCTGAACGCTGGCGTACGCTCAAAACGCTGTTGCAAAGTATGAACGCACTCGAAGCAATGCGAGTTTTCTAATTCAGTTTGTTTGGGAGGGCAGGGGCAGCAGGCGAACGATAAGAATCCCGGGTGCTCAGTCTCGCAGGGCAGACATAATAGCGCTGCCACCTTCCCTCCTTCCTTCACCCCCAAAGCATGTTATTAACCATTTATGGGTTTTCATGTGTCAAATATTACTGCTTTTTTCATGTTCTAGGGATTCTACTATGCTTTTCGAAGTTTTTGATGTTCCTTTCTCTTGTCTGATAAGGGATGTGGGCAGGAATTACATGCTGCTTATCCGAGTTGTAAAAGAACCTTTCCAGACAGCGATTGACTCGTTGGGTCGTTCTCAAGGTGATCGTTTGTTGGCGATGAAAGCGCGCAGTCAGCATGCTCCTCATGTTTCGTCGCCATCTGTTCACGCTGCTCATCTACCATCATTAACAAATGGCAATGTTCTTCACGATCCAGCTGTTCAAATGAATGGTCGCTATTCTGGAAACAGTAAAGCCAGTGTGAGTCGGCATTTCATTAGAGTGTCGCAGAAGTTCATGACATGTTCATGACATTTTCAAAGGCGCAAAAATTTCTCAGACAAGCCATAATGTTGAGTGGCGCTTCTTTTTGAAACGGCTGGTCCTGAGTTGTCGTGGACTGAGGGGTCTTTGCTGAGTTAGGACAAACGCTAGAGTTTTCTACCTCCATTTATAACAATCTTTGCTGAGTAGGGGCGAGCGGTAGAGTTTTCTCCTCCATTTATTTTATAACACTCTTTGCTGAGTAGGG